TCAAATGGGTTACCGTCGCTGTGATCCATAACTTTCCATCCGATCTCAATCATCGCTTTCTTATTTCCCGTTTCGCGCACGAAATTAAGTCCACTATTTTTACTCCATTCCTAATACATATGCGTTTCATTACAAACACAAAAAGTTTCAAAAACATTTACATTCAATGCATATTCCATAAGGCGGTCGATGTCTCGATCCCTTCCCCGAAGATTATCACGATTTGAATACTTTGTCACTTTCCAGGTCAGGTTCTTCGTGGGCCAAACGCTTCCCTGTAAAGCATACCTACGATAACGTTTTGAGTACTTTGAATGCTTTGAATGCATTTTGTAGTTGCGTTTAGTTCTGGACGAGATATTGTCGGCGACTCCACATCGCGGCTCATTCATCATATCCATTGTCTTCGTGTCCAAAGAACCCGTCTCTTCAATTCCCATGAATCGCTGGAAATCCACAACAACTGATTTCATTTTGGGTGAACTCATATCAATACTATTATTTTTGGGCATTTTATCCATATATCCGAATCGATTCAAAAATTTCTATTTAAATGATTCATACAATGATTTCAACTGTAAGGCTTGGGATAACACTTGGGAAGACACAGACCATTGCATCGATGGTTGAAAAGACGTATTTGGGAAAAGACATGCCATGAGAATAGATGTCATTTTCATTAATCGACTCGCAAATACTTATTGAAAAGTAAATTAAGAACAATTTAATTATTCTTAAATACATTTTCATTCAAATGTATAGTAATTCTTGTAAATTACTTTCGATTAGAAACTAAAAATGAGTTCAAATAACATAAAACGGATGAGTTTTGTCAACGAAAACGACATCCGCTTTAAAACATAATTTCTCATTAAAAACACTCGCAAAATGTCATCTCTTCTTCATATTCTCAATGGATTCGCAAATCTTTCAATAATTACAAACATATTAATGAATTGATGACTTTTTATTAATTATTAAATTAGAAATAATAACAATGAAATGGAAATAAATTTTTCGTATATCCTAAAAATTATTTACAAATATTATACAAATTAATGTACAATTTAGGCACAAGTATATGAAACACCAATTGATTAATAGTCTTTGGATTAGTCTCTAATCAATTAGTCATCAAAAAAATCTAAATAAATAAATTAATCCCTAATTAAACGTAAACTTAAATTGGTATCCATTGTTCGAACCGAAAGGATTGAATCCCTGACCACCAAATGGATGGAATCCGCCGCTGGCCTGAGCCTCGGCGTCGAGCGGGTCCTCTCCGTTGTCAAACTTCTGCCTCTTCTCGGGATCCGTCAGCACTTCTTTGGCGGACGCGATATCAATGAATTTCTTTTCGGCCGCTTTTTTCTCGTCGCCCGAGAATAAGTCCGGATGCCATTGCATCGCCAGTTTGCGGTACGCCTTCGCGATCTCCTTCTTGTTCGCATTGCGAGCGACGCCTAATATCTTGTAATAGTCTCTCTTTTTGCTCTGTTTCTCCAACTTCTGTGTCCTCTTTATTCCCTCCTCAGCTCGAGACGAGTGTTCGTCCATTTGTGACGCTTTTTTATAGTCACTCAACGCTATTCATAAAACATACAAAATTGTCATTAATTATAATAACAATTACGTAAATATAAAAAACTTTTGTTTCAATTTAAAAAATTGCCAAAACATTTGTAAAAATATTTAAAATAAATATAAATCAAATAAAAGATAAATCTAATGATAATAAATGAGTAAAATATGTGAAATAAAGTAGTGGTAGTCATGCATACCGTCGTCATAATTCTCATTATTGAGATGAGCGTCGGCTCTATCGCACAGAACATTCACGTCTTGGGGATATAATTTCAAAGCCTCTGAACATACGGTAACGGCTTCGTTGGCATCGCCTCCCTATTGGTGGACAAAAATGGTTAAACTATGGTTACAATGATATGAATAGTATAGAAACTCACTTTAGATAAACAATGGCATAGTTTAGATTTGATGACATGAATCATATTCATGTTTTCAGACTCGTGTTTGAGAGCAGATCTGGCCTTTTCGGCGCACTCTTTGTACTGTCCCTCCGCCGCGAACTCGTTCATAGCTTTGACAATTGCGGCCAACTTTTTCACTTTCTTATAGTGTGTAAAACAGAGTTTGTGGTCGGGATCTAACTTAAGACACTCTCTGATAGTGTTGAGTGATTCGTCGGCTTCGCCCAAATCGAAGTGCAATTTACTCAGCTTTAAGTAGCCGTCGGTGTTGTCGGAGCGCATCTTCGTTGTAGCCCTCAAGTCGCTGATGGCGTTCACGATATCGCCTAACCTTTCGTAAGCGTTGGATCGCATTTCCCGTAGTTTGCAATCCCAGGGCAGCTCATGGAGAAGGCGTGTCAACAGTTCCACCGCTTCCGCCCAACTGTGGTCTTCAATCAAACGATAGGCCATTTGGATGTCGTGTTTCAGCGGCTCTATCATTGAGTACGAGTGAACCGCTTCTTCGTTATAGGGCTCTAACCGGAGAACCCATTCGTAATCAATGTGTGATTCGTCGAGTCGGCCCTGTTTTAGGAGAACTGATCCCCTCTGGAGACGAGCGGCCAAGAAGTCAGGCTTGAGTACAATCACTTCGTTGAGGTCATCGAGAGCTGCCTTGTGTTTGCCTAACGCCAGATATACTGTCGCTCTCTTAAAGATCGTTAGATAATTGTTGGGATCCGCTTCTGTTGGACATAACAGATAACATATGGTGTGAGACGTGAGACAATCGGTGGTCAACACAATCAATACATACCGACAGCCATGTGATAGTGTGAGAGGGCGTCAGAGTATTGGCCGCGAGAAAGCATTAGTCGTCCCATTTCTAAGTGGTTCTCAATCTCTTCATTGCTTATTGTATGACAATCTGTACATCAAATGCAATCACATATTAATTATGGCATAAATCAAACCAAACAGACATTACTTACAATCGATTGCATAACTGATTATCAATAATACTTTTAGTGACCAATAAATTGAGTTCACTTTCAATTGAGTGTCCATTACGTCCATCGAAGACATTGTATATATCACTAATTGGATGACTAATTAATTGATGAGACGTTTGGCTTAACAACTCATCACCGGATCAGATGTGAAGACAATTGAATTGAGACAACAATTGAGTTAATGATGCGAAGAGTGAATGCATTTAAAGGCAAACCTATTCTCAATGCAAACGAATGTGTATTTGGTTTGCAATACAAGTCGTGTTATATTCCTATTCGACGGTTACTATCGCTAATCGACGCCTACTTTACTGTACATTACATCACATGAACTGCCAATACATTCAAATGGCATACACTTTGCCTGAAACTGAAAGTTATCATCAATGATAAGTTATCCCTAAATATCATGCAATTTGTTCACTATTTTTTGCTACAATAATCATATTTATCTTAATTTACATCATTCAACATATTTTATTCATTCATTTCTTATTCATTTCTTACACAATACTGTTTAAGCATTTTTTGATTCACTTTTACCTTTTGTGTCAAACAAAAGGAAAACTTGGGAACCAAAGACCGGAATAATCTTCACACTTATTTCACAATTGAAAAATATAATTAATTGGAAAATATGTTATTATGTTATTGAAAATATTACAATAAGCTTTTAAAAATATGTTTTGTATTTGATATACAGTATTGTGGAATTTACTGTTAAATCTAATTTGATAATAAAATGCAATTTAAATTATTTACACTTTTAATGTGATTAAAATGAAAGAATAATCAAAATTCTTATCAATAATGTATACAGTAGTGTAAATGTTTGCATTATTTGTTTCATCATTTTATCAATTAATTTTAAATAGAAATTAATGTCTACACAAGTAAATTACTTGGAAATATTATTACTTATGTAGTAATAAAATACTGTATTACATAATATAGTTACAGGATATAATATTTCTTACTATTACTAATGATGGTTTAATTCTAAACAAATAAGATTCTGTATATAACTTAATCAACTAACTGAAACAAAATATGGTATCAATAATATTTTAATATAAAAGTAAATGAATTGTAAATTTTAGTATTAGAACTTAAAATTAGTTTTAAAAATATTGAATTTTATAACAACATTTATTTTGCATCATTTAATTGTAATATACTATTGTACTTATTTAAGTGAATTACATATAATATAAATAACAATTATAAACAATATAGTTAATCGTTAAAACTAATTGATGTGTTCAAAATAGTGAATTAACATTTCAAATCTTACTTCTGTGTAACTTTTAAATATTATGTAAAGTGCATGAAAATAATAATTTGTAATTTAAGCCAAATATTATTGAAATAAACCTTGTTTAAAAATAAACCTATTATTATAATCTATTATAATTATAATCTTAATAATGATTAAATTTAATTTAAATAATTAACAAATAGTAAATATAGTGTAGAATTGGGGGCAAAGTTAGTGTTGCGGAAGTGTTGGACGTAATTGTTGTGAAACACATGTATTAAACATTGAATGCATTGAAATGTGATTTCCTTTTCCTTTTGGATGAAGTGTTGAATGCATTCATCGATTGTTTGTTTTAGTGAATCAATTGAAAAGTCGGTGAAATTGTTGACCAATTGATTATCACCTCAACTAATGGCTGTCTCTATTCCGCAGACAATGAACGCAAACGTGAGATCCGTTGGCGTCAAAGACGTGGATCAGTCGGAGTTCGTCGTAGCGTTGGCCGCTTTCCTCAAGAAGTAAGTAACCATTAAATTGAATGATTAATGTATTGATTGAATTGTATTGACATATACTTGTGTAGACGCATAGGTCGGGCAAACTGAAAGTCCCCGAATGGGTAGATCTGGTGAAGACCGGTGTCTTCAAAGAGTTGGCGCCGTATGACGAGGACTGGTTTTACATCAGATCCGCGTCTATCGCACGACATCTATACCTGAGAGCGCCCGTCGGTTAGTACTCATTGACCACTCGCTTCAATCAGAGTCTCATTTCTGTCTATCCCTCAGGTGTCGGCTCTTTGACCAAAATATACGGCGGAAGGCATCGAAAGGGTGTCCGTCCGTCCCATTATTGCCGGAGCGGCACGAATATCGCCCGCAAAGCTCTCCAGGCGTTAGAAGGTATTTGTTTGATAGCGAATGACTCTTCCGATGGC